GGCTAGGTCATCGATTATAGCATATCGGTTGATATTTGGAAAGAGAGGAAAATGGATGGCTATCAACTGTCAAGCTGTATTGGATTTATCATGGGATTGGTGGTGATGGTGAGTAAAACATAAATTATTCCCAACGTACAACATTTACTTTGCTTTTATAACCCAACGTTGCGTTTTCTACATCAGGTCTATCTTCACAACACTTTCCGTATCATTTTCACATATACAAGAACATCTTGTAATATGCGCGTGGCTCGTATTCAAAAAATTGTTCTCAATATTGTCGGGCTTGTTACGGTGCTCTTCGCCTTTGCGTTGACAATGTTTCCGAAAGACAAAGTATCTAATGACTCGTGTAAGGCATTGATATATCTACACGCATTGGGAGATTTTATGTTTGACGGAGCTTTGGCCGTGTTTATTCTGTGGCGAGTGAGGGAAGTAGAAAGAAGTATTAGAGATCTGTCAATCGGATTGGGATTGATATCTTTGAGGTCGATTCTTAACGTAAGTACGCCATTAATTTATGTGCACGCAATTTACCGACTTAATTAACCTTCTATTCGTTCAAAGATCGTCTACATTAGCCTTTTGTGGCCGACGGTTCTTTATGACCCATCATCCTCTTCATCTATTTGTTTACCCGAATCTGGAAATCGACCATTAGTGTACATCTACCGATCAATTGATCTATTGCTTTATCTATATATCGCATTACGGTTGATCCGTATTGTTATTCACTTCAGAAATCTTGCGGTCAATTGCCAGGAGAAAGGGGATGAATTGGAAAATGGTGGTAAAAAGGAGAAAAACAGCATATCATTATCCTGGAACCTGGTTCGAGTAATAGTGGCGCTCTTTTGGATTGCAGTCAATATATGGAACATAGGCCACGACAGTACTGAGAATAACAAGAATAAAATAGCATCCGCCTCGCTTATGGCAATTGCGCAAATAAGCGTATCATATGCAATAACTATTTGCATATCTATTCCTCCTCTTCATCCCATATCCCTCGATTCTTTCTTCTCATATCAACAATCCACTTCCAAGACCAAACGATGCTCCACTCCTCCACCGCCGCAAGAGTCAATAATAACGCCGCTTCCATATAATCAGTCAGTCGGAATGTCTACGGAGTATCCACGATCAACAGTCATCGAACAGATCGACGTCGATAAACTTGCAGTCGTGTCTATGAAGCACTTATCGTTTGGAGAAATCATTAATGACATGTTATCGTGGCGGAGCAAGGGTAAAAAAAAAGATATGGTAAGAGGACGTGAGGAGGACGAAGTCGAAAAAGGGAGAGCAAGTAATGAAAGTCATGAAAGAAAGAAAGAAACGAGCTATGTGGACATGGATGACGGTCAGCTTGAAAGTGCAGACAAAGATAAGGATACAACGTCAAGTCAGACGGCGACCACAGATTACGACAGTGATTCTAATGGCGCAGAAACTAGCACAAGTGGAGAAAAATCAGGCATTTATGTTACTACCACAACATTAACATTGAATGCGCGTGCGTCCCAAATGTCGAGGTTGGAGAAGACGTTCAAAGTAACCGATTGAATTAAATTGGTTGGAACCCTGAAGCCCTTTCTAATTTGGATTATACTTGTATAAAATTGTAATTTAGTTTGGATAGCAGCACGCATAATACATATTATAATCTTTCAACATTTGTAATTACTTTTATCAAAACTTAATTTCTGATTGAGCAACAAAAATTAACAATAAACACTAATAATCCCGCAAAACACTTATCTGATTGCTTGTGACAGACGAAAACGAATTCCCGCTTTTGAGACTGGCTTGTACCAGCGCACATGCGTATTTCTCCGACCACGATTGTGTGCTCAGATATACTGATAACGGGAATAGACTATATTGAGTGGCTTTCATCGCCAAAGTTCCAACTTCAAGTAAGGCAGATAACCTCGCAGGATCACAGTTCATGTTTGCAATTTTTGATCAAGTAGCATATCATTCCATTACATAAATTTGCTGTTATGAAAACTGTATCGCAATTTATTCGTGTTTTTTTTTGTTTCTTTCACTTGCTCATTTCTATAACAGATTGATTTTCCAGTGTTGAAGTTTTGAGAATAGATCGTTCTCATCTATACATAATTATAATTCAGCGTTGTGTCTCTCTCCCAACTTCTCTATGGTGGTCTGACGCAATAATTCCTCTTGTTCGACATGCTTTTCGCTAAGAGCTTTAGGCTTCGGTCTAACTATTTCATCTGCCACTCCTTCAAAGGGAAGGCAATCATTTCACCAACAATCATTTCGCCGACCGACAAATGTTCACCAACATTATCCTTTTTAGGGGCATGTCTAAAGCGGAGCAAATTTCTCGCGATTCCATTGGTCAAATTTGTATGGCAGCCAATAAAACTGCCAATGCGTGATTACGTTCTGCTCCGCTTTAGCCTTTCCCTTTTTAGGTAATTAATTGTTGGTGAAATGAATACGGACCCGACTTAGCAAATGTAAATCGGTATTTTATATTTATTTTGAGATTAATTGTGTGAGTAATATATGACACAATAACAACTTCACGCTCTTGTGGCATCATACAGGTTGCTATTATTTTATTGATAATATTATCAATAATTTAAAAACAATGCCTTTTTTTGCCCAATACTATTTAACAACAAAGCAGATGTTAAAATTTTTTAACTTCTGTAAAATATCAATATAACAAATACTCTAGCATACAATTGTCTGTGTTGCTTTGTGGGAGAGCGATAATCTTTCGCGTAGGTGGG